ACGCACGCACGTGACTACAACTTTGAATGTGATTGGTTGATTTAAACTACAACTTTGAATGTGATTGGCTTATTGAACTCTCCGATAACAAACTGTCCGATAACAACTTGGCAAGTGAATTAGTGGAAAATAGATGTTTTTTAAACCAATCACAAACGAGGAAATTGTAATTTTTATTACTAATCAACAATATTTCACCTGATATTTTTGTCATGGCTTCGTCAATCTCTTGGCAGCAAACACACTCTATCTCCTGCTGATTTTCCCAGTTTTCACAATGCTCGCAATTACACCAAGAGGTATTCCCCCTCCTTGCAAGCTCGTTCTGGCCGTCAGTTGTATTCTCATCCGAGAAATCTCGAAGGAATAGGGTTCAAACTCAGCCATATTTGTAACTGTATTACCAAACCATACACAATACAGCTGCGAAAATCCGCGACTGATCACGACTAATGAAGGGCAAGAACACGGCACGCGGAGGCGAGCACGCAAAGTAGGAAAGAAAGCATGAGGGCTTTGACGTCACAAGATGGCAGACGGTAATCCTTATCTGGAAGTAACCGGAAGAGAATGCTAACAAAATGGCGGATGTTCAATTCTGGCGAATTCTCTCAGTTTTCTATTTGATTTGCACTGAAATACGAACTTTTTTCGATCGATTCTTTGTAATTTACGTTCTTTCTACAATTTCAGATCATTTCAAAAATTATACCCTGTAGCCTACCGTTCTCCTTTAAGTTGATTATAGCAAAGATATCAGTGACTTCACCTATTGTTATTAATATGCCAACCATAGAACTATTGGTTGTAAACAAATATCTTCCCTATAGGTATTTACCTATTAAGTACTGTGTACATAACACATTCAGTTTTTTGTTAGAACTCATATCTATATCAGTAGTAACAATCAAAACAGGCAAAACAGCTCAAGTGTCCCACCTAAATAAGCTTAATGATTATATGTAATGATTGTTGTACAATTTATGCTGTGTCACGCAACATACAAACTCCTCAAAATTTCCTTGACCACCCTTGTCAATTGTATTACATGAAACATGTCCGTGACAAATATCCCCAGTTTACTTAAAAAGCTCTTAGATTTCCAAACACCCCCATTTTTTCAGTTTGAAAAAAAAATCAGTGCAAGTTTGGAAAAAAATAGTATATCGCAATTCAAGACCAACACCCAGCACCAGCTGATAGTTTTAGAGTTTTAATACATAGAGAATGAATGATAATCCGAGAATGTTCATTGTGTCGACATTCAGACAACAACTGGCAAAACTAGAAGCTGTATTTCGGTAAGAACTATACCATCATCAGACTAGAATGAAGAAACGAACAAAAAGTAGTACCGACGAGAAAAGGCAAAGTTCTCTGCTGGATTTGAGTCCTTTGTTGAGGGAAGGTGTCAGGCGTTTGATGTGATATGCCTCTTTGTATAGGAGAAGATTCCAATTGCTGCGGCAGTTTAAGACCGTGGTGTCAGATTTTGTGTCACAAATGTCCCGCTTCAAAGAACACTACAATAAAATAAAATCTACAATAAAAACCTGATCGACACAAACCTCAAGAAATCCACACTTCGAAAATTAATTTGCGATACTTGCACGACAACCGGGTTCTCATGCAACAACCAACTACACGAACAAACTGATAGAGAGAGCATGGGTGGATCGTTAGTCCAGCATTAGGGAGCTTAAGCAACGACGACGACGACTTCGAGGACGACGCCTAGTAAAAAATGAATTTATTTTTTACGAGCGAAGTTCGCGATTGTCTAGATCTGTTTGGTCCGCCAATGGCTCTAAAAACGTGCTTAAGCTAAACGTGCAACGACGGTGTTCAATTCCAAATGAAAAATACGAAAATTAGCCGTCGTCGTCCACGTTCCGTAGACGACACAAAACTTGGTCATTTCACGTTGTTGTATTGCAGAGGACGGCAAAGAAATGTACCAAGATTTATAACGCACGTGCACAGCTATTGTTTTGCTCATTGAACCTTTTGTTCAGTGACGTTCTCGTTGCCGTCGTCGTCGTGGTTTGCTTAAGCTCCCTACTGGCTACAAACCACGACGACGACGGCAACGAGAACGTCACCAAGCAAAGGATTTAATGACTAAAACAGTAGCTGTGCACGTGCATTATAAATCTTTGTACATTTTAGGGGCGTAGCCAGCGTTTTTGAATGGAGGGGTTCCTAATGTATATTGCTTGCCCGATTGACAATCAAGCGCTGGAGGCGCTCTTTACTAGGGGGTCCGGGGGCATGCTCCCTCGGAAAATTTTGGAATTTTGGGTCTTCAGAAATGGCGTTTCCTTGATTTCGAGCACAAATTTCCACAATCGACATTTTTGCAAGGACTTTGCAAAAATATCGATTGTTGCACCGATGCCAATTTGCCTACCATAATGGATGTTCATTAGCGCAAGTCCAGACTCTCGCTCACTGGTCATGGTCGCCCTCAGATGAGTTTTTAATCGCCGCAATGTGCTCAACGATCGCTCACATTCTTCAGAGGTAATTGGCAACCTACATAAGATGCGTAGCAATTTATGTACGTTTGGAAAGAATTCATGGTTGCATTCTTCTAATGCTTGATCTGCACTGCTGGGTAGGTCTTGATTCGCATTTAGCCACTTGCGCCGCCAACGGAAAAGTTCCACATTGCAGGCTCCTATATACAGGAAGCTCGTATGATCCGTCCAACTTACGCACCCTTATAATATTGTAACTTGCGATATAGCATGTGATGCCTTTTTAAATTGATTTTCTTTTGTTCTTCTTCCAAAAACGAAAATCTCGTCTCGCAGTATTTCGAAAGGGGGGTTCCGATACGTTTTTCCTCTTGAAATAAAATCCATTTTCATAACCCAAAAGGGGGGTTCCAGAACCCCTGGAACCCTACCCTGGCTACGCCCCTGCATTTCTTTGCCGTCCTCTGCAAAACAAGGACGTAAAATGACCAAGTTCTGCGTAGTCTGAGTAACACGAACGTCCAAGGCTGATTTTTCGCATTTCCATTTGGTATTGAACGCTGTCATTGCATATTTAATCTCGGCACGTTTTTAGAGCCATTGGCTCACAGAACAGATCTAGACAATTGCGAATTTCACTGGTAAAATATAAATTCATTTTTGACTAGGCGTCGTCGTCGTTGTTTAAGCTCCCGAATATTATTACGACCGAATTCGAAGAAACAATCGTTAAACAACTTCTTGATCGGGGAGTAATAACCTATTATTGCAGATACGTTGACGACACATTACTCTTAATGGTCCTTAATCAAACCCGACACAATCAACCCTATTCAAGATCACTTCCCCAAGTTTGACAAAAACCTACAAGTACGTTTTACTGATGCTCCTTATGATTTATTTGAAAACAGAACTCCACATTTTCTGGATATCAACATCTCTACCAACGACATCGGAATCTACCGTAAAGACACCAATATACCAACTTTGACAGTTTTGTCCCATGGCGTCAGAACACTGGTCGACCGTATCCAATGAATCTGCTCTCCTAATATACTCAAATTTGAACTTTAAAAGCAAACCAAAAAGATCATATCCTGGAAGAGCTTCCCTTCACATATTGCCAATATGCTTATTCGTCGGTGTTCTATTAACACTCTTGATAGGACTTGCACAGGAGACAACTACACCAAAGACAAGAAAGACTCTACCATCATCTGGCTTTCTATCCCTTACATTGGCGACAAAACCTCACAACTGTTAAAATCATTCAAACGAAAGCTCCTAGATGTCTCACAAACTCTAACATCGAAAAGCACGCGAGAAAACAACTAATCGAAACTAAGCTGTGTTTGTGCACCAACAACAAGGATAAAGCACCACCATTGAGTAAATCGCATGTTGTGTACAAATTCAGCTGCCCTGTCGGTTGTCAATCCACGTATACTGGCAAAACAGATCGAACTCTTTCTCTGACAAAGAGAGTGCAATATACAAACATTTGCACACTTGTGAGCAATTAATTTTCATAGGAAATTTGTATAATCTACCGGACACCTTAAATTCTGACAATCTTCCACCTAATTCTTGTAACAAAGAATACTTAACACAATTAGTCAGAAACACTGAACACCAAAGTATTCAGACTGCGACAGCAATTGGAATCTTCTCCCATACAAAGAGGCATATTAAAGTAAACGCCTGACACCTTCCCTAAACAAACAGGACTCAAATCCAGCAGAGCACTTTGCCTTTTCTCGTGAGTATCACCTTTTGTTTCGTCTCTTCACTGTTATAAACTCGGCATTTAAGAGCTACCCTGTATGCATATACTAGTCTGATGATGGTACTGCCTAAGCAATATTTCATTTTATTGTTGGCTGATGCGTCTTTCTCTCTAAATATTATAATTTATTTTATTTATTGTAATTTAGATGTCATTTACATTCTTTCTAGTTTTTTTCACACTTTTATTGTATTTTAGTTTTAAATCGTTTTCACACCCTGTTTGTGTATATTTCCATTCGCGCACCAACATTTTGGCCGAAAGCTCTTATTTTTTAATTCTTTTAACCAGAGAACGTTTTTACTTCTTTTGAATTATGTTTTATCTAAGCTATAGCTATATTTGAAAATCCCGATAAGTTAAGCTTACATATGATACTTACGATGAAGCTGCGCTGTGATTGAAAAAGAAAGCAAATGTTTCCAGAAGTTCCTTTTCGGTTTTCACAACGTCATGAGGTATTGCTTCCCGGGGAGGTTCAAGTTTCAGTGCTTCTAACAACCCCACAGAGTCAACGAAATAATCCATAGTTGCTTCAAAACAGGTAGCCACTTTAGGTGAGCCAACAACTGAATTTTCCTGTTCCAAAGATTTCAGTCCGTCCAAAACTGCTTGAATACGTTGATCTTGACTTGCCATGTTCCGGTAGTAAAAACATCCTGCCACAACAACTGCAATGGCGACTACAGTAGCCACAGTATTAACCATTTGCTCCCTTCTTGACAACATTTCAAAAAGAAACGGAGAGAAACAACGACATAAAGATAGCACTTGGAGTCGTAACGGAATCCGTTTAGAATAAATTCTATTCAGTCTCGAGTTCGTCGAGACCGCAAACAAAAGTGTTAACCGCAGGGGATTTGAAAAAGCGCAAACGCAATGGGTGCTCTTAGGGAAAGACAAAAATAGAGGGTCTGTGGACTTCAGTTTCTTCACCCTGCGTGCTCTGCTTGCAGGATGCCGTTTCTCCAGAAACGGAAAATTTTCATTGGCTTAAAGGCGATCAAACATGTCATTACCATGTCAAGATCCATCACGCGCGCGGCATGGGATTTGAAGTGGTTGTAGTCACTTCGTACAGAGTCGGTTGCCGCCAAATTTGCATAATATGAGCATATGTTACGCCGTCGATACTTACACGAAATCGATATGAAAACAAGCCTGCTTCTTAGGTGGAATCTTTGGATTTCGAGCACTAATACCCGTAGTCATGTTATTTAATCGTGAAACGCCCTGAAACGTGTCCAATTAACAAATGGACGTCAGCTTTTTATGCGTCTGTCCTCTTATTGATGAGAAATTGCTTCATAACATTGTCAACGTGGCTGTGGAACCACGAGCCGTAGGCGAGTAGTTCCGCAGTAAACTTTGACAATGTTATGACGAAATTTATCATCAAAAAGAGGACAGACGCATAAAAAACTGAC